CCACCACACCCGGTGGTGCGTTCCCGCGTCAGCTTGCGCACGTCACACATTCGCCCCATCCACTAAATCACTGTGACCTCTCCATCCCCGCATCGGAGAAATGAGAGGCATGGTAAACCTAGATAATCTAGACTAGGCTGGCATATTATCACGCGGTGAGTTCTGCTTCACAACGGCTTGTCACACCCTCCCCGCTCATTCGCTCCAGCCTTCATTGTTGGCACACATGGGCTCTCCCATTCTTTATTTCGCTTTATCACCAAGTTTCTCAACTGGCGAGGTTTTACATGAATAAATGGCCTATGTGGTGTGCACAGCAGCAGCAATATTCCGGTATAACCGACTCGCACGTTTATATGATTGCGCTATAGCAGTATTTTATTCACAAAGATAAAGAAGGGAAAAAACTGGGTTTTAAAATAGTGTCTTTATAACAGACTTCTCGTTATTTCAGGACTCGTTATAAGTTAATAATATTATATTTATGCGCACGCGCGCGCGCACACACTCTCTCTCTCTCTCTCTCTCTCTCACACACACACACACACACACACACACACACACACACACACACACACACACAAACACACACACGGACTATTTTCATTCAGATGTAGACACAGAACATCTTTAATAAAAAATAACGCTAAAAGCTGAAGAAGGATAGGCCTGTAGGAACAGAAAATGCTTAAGATGTCTTTTGAAGCTATCAAGTACTCTTGTTTGTCTTAATTCCATGGGTAGTCTGTTCCACATAAATGGACCAAGATATGAGATACAGTGATTGTTTTTAATGTCCAGCAGTTGATGACAACAGTAATGTTATCTTGTCCACGAGTGTGTCAACGAGCCGGCAGTAACTCTGTACAGAGAGGGATTATCTTGTCCGAGGGAACACCACAACAGGAGGTTCACTTCACATCTGCTCATCTGTACAGAAAAAACAGACAATAAATCGGAACTTTAAAGTTGGATCATCATTAATTTATTCATGAGTTATGATATTATGCGTGGCATTGTGGTGAAATCATTATTTAGTTCAATTAGGCCAACTATTATTTTATTCCAGTTATTCATTTTTATTTCAATCAAATTACTTTCTTAGTCCAATTATTATCTTAGTCCAATTATTATTTTAGTCCAATTATTATTTTAGTCCAATTAGTATTCTAGTCCAATTATTATTTTAGTCCAATTATTATTTTAGTCCATTTATTATTTTGAAGCTTAATTCTGACCTAGTGAGCCCACAGAGCTGCCTACACAATCTTCGACTCACCAGGCTGATTATAGGTCTACACATTGGACAATGGCCGACTGTCTGCGCGTATAACCCGTTGGTAAATGTTCGAACCTCGGTGAGGATTAGGAGGGGGAGGCTGCTGATGTAAGAATCTAGAAAACCGCTCGAATGGGGGGTCCTGAAAGTGAATTTAATTAAGAAGACAAACGTTAACGACAATTCGTCCATGTCCGACTGTAATAATACATGTGTGTGACTTTTACCAAATTGAAAAAAAAAACCAAACCCCAAACAAACAAGCAAAGCGGGTCAAAAAACAACATCAAGAACAAAATTAATTATGAACCAAAACCAAAATACCCCCCCCCAAAAAAAAACAACCCCAAAACAAACCCAAACAATCCCAAACAAAACAACAACAAACCGACAGCCCAATAGTAATTTCCTTTTTTTCTTTCTTCTTGGTTTTTAACTATCTGACAAAAGCGTAATAGTTTAAACATTGTCTGTCAGTCTGTCTGTCTGTCTGTCTGTCTGTCTGTCTGTCTGTCTGTCTGTCTGTCTGTCTGTCTGTCTGTCTGTCTGTCTGTCTGTCCAAAGAGGAATAAAAGTGATACATACCTCTGGATGAGAGCCTGAAATATGAGAAAGAAAGACAAATGAACATTGTATTATTGAAAAAGTGGGCTTTTCACGATGTGGTTCTCCGTCTTTATTGCTCCATCAACTCAGTTCAGATCGTAAGGACAAAAGGCTAGGGCTGCCTCTGAGCTTCCTGTCTTGTCATAAACTACCTCGGATATGTGGGTTTTTCTAAAATTCTAAATTCTAACCAAGTATGTTCACCTTGTTCGGGCTTCAACAGGAACGTAATAAAAAAAACCCAGCAACACAATAGTAACAGAATATGTGTTCTCTTATATCATCATCATCATCATCATCATCATCATCATCATCATCATCATCATCATCAT